AACAAACATTATGTCACATTCATATACATTTAATCTACCACTGTGACTGTACACAATCCTGTTGATACCCATTTCAGAGAAATCTATGGAAAGAATGAAGAACAGTGACGAGCGATGGACAAAAGAGGGTAGCCGAAGCGCGGGGGCAAAAGTGTTGACACAAATAAACGTAGCAAGTGAACAATGGGTGTTTGTGATCGACTAAATCGATATCGACTCATATCGATCGATTCCGGGACTTGGGTGTGAAAATTGGTGAGAGGGTCGATGAGAAAGGCAGCAATGGACAGACAATGGAGCTTTGGGAAATGGGAAGCTAATGCGCAGATCACGCAAACACATTCCCTCGAAATCAATCAAAAGCGCAACATTCTTAATATTTGCTCGACAACAAGAAGTACAACAACCCGCTACCGGTAATATACTTGTGCAAACAACATAGATGAATTACTAATCGATAACAATCGATAAATAAGCTACACGGACAAGACACGTCTCACTGAAGTGTATGCGTTTAATGGATGGGTGTGTATACGTGTATATTTGGTTCTCGATACCTTGTCGATATGCGAACAACCGGTATATTTCCAGAGAGGAGAAGAAAGAATAGTTGTGATGCAGGGTAGAGACAAAGAATATTGAGGAGGTAATTTTTGAGAAACGCATATACCAAATAACGAGGGAAAAAGCTCAACATAACTAACAAGAAACATCAACAATGAGAATTAGCACGTCAACATCGGCGATTCAATTTTTCGACAAGGTAACTTCACGACATCGTGACTTTCTCATACCCTTCCCGCGGGTGTTGACGCTATAGTTTGGTAGATGTAGTCTCTTAGAAATTATTTCTTCCCTCGAAGTGACTCGATCAAGCCGCGACTTTGCATCTGCTGGATTTGTCGTAACAACTGTGGATTGCTCATCAATGCAGGGTTCATCGCTGCTGCAGCAGCTGAAAAATGTGGTATAACTACTAATCTTGAGAATAAAAAAATCTGAACCTGAAACAGTATATAAACTAACCAAGCTGAGCAAGGGGATTATTATTCTGCCCGGTCAAACCTGAAGATTGAGCATGTTGCACGGCTTGAGCAAGCATAGTCATGGCCATGTTTGGCTGATTCGCCTAAATTTAGTAATGAGAAAACTAACTATACCCGGATATAAACACTCAGATACGCTCTCAGTCACAATAGAAACAAGCACATAAGATGTGCAGGTTTCTAAGTATTAACTTGAAAGAACTATGATAATAACATCATGAAAATGTGCACATGAAAGAAAACTTGCAACAAAGGTCAAAAAATAGGTAAAAACCAGTGGCGGACCGAGGGAAAGGGACATGGGGAGGGGAGGGGGGAGGGGGCAGAATGTGTCGCGATACTTATATGAGTTACAAATTGTGCAAGTGACGTTTATACTTGTGATTTATTGGAATAACTTTTGATATTTTTGAAAGCATC